ATGAAAACTGTTCAAAATGAGGCAATTGGGAGCTGGATAGAATATTATTTTCCTTGCCCAACTTTCATAATTATAAATGGTCGAATGACTCTTGAATCGCACTTGAAAGTGTAGGAGGAAAAGTTTGATTGGCAATTGGCTATTATGGCCATGGAAAAAGTACAACATTTTAATGCTTAGGTGCACTTGGAATTTCATATTTTATTGGTATTCAAACTGCACCGAGAGATGCAATTTTAACAGAAAATATAATAAAAGCAAGAAATAAATAAAATGAAATATTTTTAACATTTAAGGCAAGTGTCTTCATATTTAAATTAAGTATTTTTAATGCACGTTTATTAATTGTTATTCATATATTTTATTTCGTGTGATTCTTCGTTCTTTGCCACTTTTCAGTTCATAATCCCTCCATTACCCACTCGAAACTAGCAATTAAAAGCAATCCCAGCGTTAATTAATTAGCAGCAGCCAATTACGGCCGTCAAATCATAATTAAAAATTGAGCAAAGCACATGCAAATCTGGAGGGGTCAGGAGCTGCTGCCTGCTTACCTGCCAATGAAATAGAAAGTACTTTTTCCCCCGCAAACGAAAGCGAAAGTGACACAAGTGCCCCATCCCCATACCCCTCTTGCTCTTGCAACAGCCTTCGGTTAAGTCATGTCCGGAATTTCGAAACGTTTTTCGCTTCGTCGTGAATTATGAATCCCGTATATTGATTACGCGCGCTTCGCCATGAAAATTGATTTGATAGCGGGCGAGTTTTGCTTCTCCCTTTTTTTTATTTTAAAAAGTTTCACCGGCCACAATTGGTGGACAATTTGCCATTCCGGTCGCATTTCTGCTCCAAACTATTGGACGTCCCTCTGGTGCGGTGCGGTGCGGTTTGGTGTGTTGCCAATGAAATTGGAAAACTTTTTCATATTCGAAATTGTTGCGTAGAAACGGCGGCCCTGCGATGGCGGCCAAGTGCATGCCCCTTAAATATAAATGAAGTGTTGCTGTTACCATTTGCTTTTTGTATTGTTTCCATTACCTGTCTTTTGCTGCCATTTGCCATTTTGCATTGTTGCACGGCTGTGCTGTCGTCGATGTGGCTGCCACTGTGGCGATGGCTGCTTTCCAGCACCTGGTGCCGTCTGCTGGAGCGTGTGGCTACCCGTGGGGATCGATTTCCACTCCCACACGTGCCAGAGAAATGAGTGCAATAAATACAATTCGAAAACTTTTCTACCCTCTTCTTCCTGCGTGCTGCACGCGAGCCCCTGAAAGTAGGCTAATAATGTGGCATGAACAAAAAACATCTCCAACATTCTCCATCTTGGCAAACCTCTCTCAAAGCGTGTGTTTCTCTCCAGCGAAAACACACACTTTATGCCACACGCAGTGCAGCAACACCACAGGGAGTGGGCATCGGGATATTCCACTTCATAGAAAATGGAAGTGCACTCTGTGGGGCAGAAGGAAGCTTGCCAACAATGTGATGTTTTCGCCAGCTCGGAAAAAGCATTTGAATTTTACATGAAAACATGTCGAGAAAAGAAAGAGCTGGGAATTGTGTGTGCTGAAATTTAAAATGCTTTCACCCCAACGGTCAGACTTCAACCCTTTCGGGGAGCGGCAGTCGGAGCAAAAGAAACTTTTTGGGGTTATTAAACCGTAGAGAAAAGTTTGCTTGAAAAGTCCTCAATCAGGCACATCATTTTTGCATTGTTTTTTTTATTGCAGAAGTATTTACACAAAAGGCTAAAAGAGCTAATTGGCTTCTTAGTACCTCGGGCTTGGACTTTCTTCCTTTTTTTTTTTGTTGTTTGTTTTTTGTACATTTTTCAATAAATAAATAAATAATGCAAGCCAGACGCCGCACTCCCAGCGCTTCAACTACTTAAATTATAGCAAATAAATAAAGTTGCAGCTTGGAATTCGTTTTCGAGTTATTTCTGACCCGCGTAGGCGAGGTCCTGCGCGTCCTGCGGCTCCTGGGAGGAGCGTGCCCAGGCGTGTGGGTCCCAGGCGGGCGAGGGATGCTCCAAGTGCTCGATATGCTCCACTGGCAGATCCACATGATGATCGATGTGATGCTCCAGATGATGGTCAATGTGATGGGGGGCAAAGTGCTCGATATGGTGGGGCACCACGTGCTCAATGTGGTGTGGCACCACGTGCTCAATGTGGTGGGGCACCACGTGCTCCACATGGTGGTGGTTGGGATAGTGCACCACCTCGTAGTTGACAATCTTGGGCTTGGCAATCTTGAAGATAACCAAAGCACCCGACAGCACCAAGGAGAGCAGACCCAAAGTCATGGCCTTCCATGTCTTCAGGGCAATCAGACCGAGGGCCAGGGGCACCAGCACCGTTGTCTTCAGCTTCAGACCGAGCAGGAAAGGCAGAATGGCCTTGCGGATCATGCCGCGACCTAAACGGGCACCACTCAGTATTAGAATTCCCCGAAACAGGACAGGAGTCAGAACTCACCTTCGTTGGCGCCTGACAGCGGCACAACTGCGCCCTGGGTGAGGGCGTTCTGCAGCAGGAAATCGGGCACCAGGGCACGTGCCTCAGAGCTGCGGAAGTACTCGGGTGCCTGGATTCTCAGCGCATGACTGCCCAGATAGCCATCGATGTTATCGAACATTTGCTCCTCAGCGTTGAGGGAGCGGGATGAGGTGGAACCTTCCACTGTGCGCACAATCGACAGACGATCGGTTAGTCGGACTTCCGGCTGCTGCAGTGCCGCATTGAACCAGCGCAGCGCCTTGGGCCGCACACACGACACACTCAGATCCTTGAGGCAGCTGTGGTACATGTCCAGGGCCAGCTGCGTGGCAGACTGCGGTGCCTGCTGCTGCTCTTGGGTGGGTGCTGCCTGTGCGGCGACCAGCGCCGTCACAGCGGCAATCAAGAAGGCGTAAGACTTCATCCTTTTCGCTTTCACCTGCAGTAAATTCCCCGTGAATCCGAACTCTCAGCTCTCTTGTGGTAGGACCGTTGTCTGCACCGGCTGGCGACTCAATGGGTTATGCAAATGTCGCCTGGGCACCGCTTGGTTTTTATACGTCGAATGATTTCTTAATTGAAATGCGTATGCAGAGCGTACGCTGTGCGCTGCTCCTCTTTGGGCACGAGCTTTAGCCACCATTTCGCTTTGTTGCCATGGAAAGCGCAAGTTCCCCCCACCGCAGCAGAGTTTCACCTTTGGGCCTCCGATTGAGGACTTGAGCGTCTTTTGGGGGGTTCTACAAGTGCACGCCCAGCAATGGTCTCCACAGTGTCCACTGGGTCAACCGAGAAGTTTTTTATGGGCACGCCAGTGCCGCTCTTTGTTGAGGCTTTTCATCAAAACGCCATAATATGCCGCACATAATTGAAAGTTATTTGATGGCTTCTATTTCAAGCTCGTAAAATCAAGGGGCCAACAATCCGATGTGCGTGCCTCGCAACTCAATTGACGACGAAGACGAAGAGTTGTTCGCTGTCGAGCAACGGACTGAGATTAACCCCAGCGGACTTGCAGACCAAGGCAGAAGATATTTTAGATACATATACTTTCCTGTTGCCTAACATTTTCACAACATTTCAATGTAGAAATAAATGAAAAATGAATCAATTTTATGCGCTTTATTTGACAAAACAATTTGTGCCATTAAATACAAGGAATTGATGACCGCCTTCGACATTATCTCATGCTTTCGGTTCTTAAACGATTGACTCATTTTTATGTGCCATAAATTAAGAAAAGAAATCATTTCCCTAAAATGCCTCTCTGCACATCCTCGAGCTGTAGCTGTCAACGATATTCTCCCTTTCAGGCGTCTGTCTCAAGAGCCACTTGTCCCTGAGCCTGACACTGGCCAGTGCTAATATAATCCCCAATCTTTCGTAATCGATACTATTACGAGTGTGGGCATTAATTGTCCGAGTCCACACTCGTGTGCGGGTGTCAGTTCCTTGGTTTCAAATAGCGGAAATACTTATGGCAGCCCTAAGACAGAAGCCAAGTGCAATTGTGTGATATCGGATCGTTGCGTGATAGCGGGGCTGGAGGGTACTCTGCCCGCTTTGGCATTTAATGAGCTGCCAATTTGGCAATCGGGTTTTGATGTCAGTGCAGTTGGCTGGGCCGAGACAGCGAGCCCACGAATCCTAATGCTTCCGCTCTTTGTTGTAATTTTGTGCTTTGTTTATTTTTCCTTATTTTTTGTTGCTGTTTTCCTGGAGAAGTAAAGTGAAAGCTTTGCCATTTGCGTGTTAATTGCGCCTGGCATTTGCATAAATATTAATTTCAGATGAGTTCGCGCACTTCTCTGACATCAAAGCCGTCTGCCACCCCCCCCACGAATTCCAATATGCTGCCTCATAAATATATTTATGCAAATGCGTGGAGCGGGTGGGGCACCATGTGGATTCGACAATTAGAAGGAATTTCGGTACGTCATTCCTCCACGGTTCCGCCTGCCGCTCTGTGATTTATGCAAACAAAATGTATTATTATTGGAACTGCTGGTCTGTGCGAGTGATTTTCTCAGCATGTGGGCTGGGACGACTGTGGCACTATGGGAAAAAGTTCAGCATAAAGAAAATACTTTTTTAGATATTTTATTTTGATTTTTTTGAGTACAAAAAATTATAAAAAATCAAATTGTGGCCCATAGTGCATCTCAGATTAAAGAAAAAAAATCCCAAATAATGCCTGCGATTATGTTTATTGACTTGAAAAATGATTAAGCCTGAAAGCTAGTGAAATGTTTATTTTAATGGCAGCTGCGTGAATTTTTATTTTCAAATTGTAAATGGATAATGCATATTTTTAGAGATCTTTCCCAGGGTACACCAACAGTCGTTGCTCGTGCATTAGGGCTGGCTTCCTGCTTGATTTATTTTCCTGTGAATTAACCCAAAGTTCTTTGGATTGGCCTCACCCTGTGCGGTGCTGCGTGATTTCAAAAATTAATTTTACTCCACATGACATTTAACACAATTTCAATTTATTTTTTTTTTTCATTTGGGCTTTTTGCTAGTAACAATTTTTCATATTGACTAAATGAATTTTCAGCCGGGTCTGTCGGCCGGCCATTAATAAATATTCTGATTTCATTATTTCGCATTTTGGTGAATTGTTTTTTTTTTAGAGCATTTCGTGTGAGAGTTTAAAGAGTGTACGAACCGCAAAAGCCGCAGTCAGTTCTAATAAATAATTGGTCGGAACGAACCACTGCAACAAAATCAGAATGAATATTAATGAGAGTCAACCCCCGACGCTTACACGCTAAATACATAAATAAATAAATAAATAAATAAGAGTGTAACAAATTAGAAATAAATTAGGCTTAGGTGCTAGGTATTATCCGTATTTACAGTTCAGTTTAATAAGTAAAAAGTTTGACTTCAAAGTTTGCTCGTGCTCGTGCTCGTTGCTGGGCCACTCACTTGGCCGGCACTGTGCACTGCGGATAGAGGCTCTGGCAATCCTTTTGATCCTGTCCATCCCGCGCCGCCTGAATGAGCCGATAGAAGCGACGCACTGCCTCATTCGCATGCGTCACGGGCTCCAGTTCGCTGGTATCGCTGCAAACAGACAACAGACACAAAAACGATAAACTTACTTGGCACCCAAAAAAACAACAAACTTTTCGGCTGTTTAATTAATTTTTCGCTCTTCTTTTCGTGCCGTTTGTTTGCTTTGTTCGTTGGCTGCTTTGAGCAGCTGCTTCTAGAGTCCTAGCTGCAGGCCAAGATCTACGAACGAGCCAGGAAGTTACCTAATTAACTTTGCCACTTGTGAACATCGCCCTCAAGTTTCCACACACACACACACAGAGTTCACACAGCAGCTTTAATTGCTTCCTCGAGTCAGTCGTTCGTTGGTCCTTTTCGGGTCCTTTGTGTGTCAGACAGCAGCTCCTTCCCCACTCAACTATTCAGAGCCGGAATTGTAGGCTCTGTGAGTGCTTGGCATGGGTGCCGCTAATGGATTTCATGTGGCTAGTGAATCGTGCAGTGTGGCACCTAAGTCGGGGCCAGACAGGACCGCTGCCAGGCAGTTCAAAAGCGAAAAGGGAGTTCCGGCAACGCATATGCCGTCAGACTTTTAATGTATGTAACTTCTTTTTTGTGTCGCCCTGCCCCTGCCCTGCCCTGTCCTGGCGCCCAGGCGACAGTTCATTAAAATTACATTTCATATGCACATGAAGGATTCTTGCAAGCCATTCACTCGATTCGGGCAAACTTTTTGCACTCCAGTCTCGCTTGTCTCCCTGTCGTTTTTCCCTCGTTAAAAAGTAGCAAAATTGTAATTAGTTTTTCGCCGTAGTTTTGCTTGCCAAAAGCATCAATTTCAATAGTATAAGAAATAAATACAGTCAATTACATTTTACTTGCCGCTGGCACTGTCTCGCTCTGTCTGTTTGTCTGTTGAACCATTCTAAAAGTTCAATCAAATCGAAGTGCCAGAAGTGCCTTTATTAACTTTAAACTTTAAACTAGAGTCTTGCTGCCAGGGGTTCCATCAAGTCAATTTATTTTAATTAATTTTCAACTAGAATGGGCGAAAAACCTGAGCGCAAGGCCACGGCTCCTGCTGTTGCTATTGTCTGCTCTGATAAGGCAATTAAGCACACTCGGGGCACTGGCACTCAATTAATGACTTGTCATGGACACGCAGACTCATAAATCATTCGAATTTCCATCCCAAATCGCATCTCCAGGGAGCCGCTGTCAGTCAGAATTTCGTCAACGCCATGCAAAACCGTTGGCAAAACGCTTTTGGCATTCAGTGTGAGAAGCGATAAGGAAACCTGCAAACAGTATGAACTTTTATCTAGCTTTTGGCATGCTCCAGCGAGTCCGAGAGTGACCGAGCGACCGACCCATCAGGCATGTGGGCGGAACGCCCTGATGCCACGCCACGCCACGGCGCTTTGTTGCCGCTTTTGAGGCATGTGGCAGGCAGGCAGGCAGGCAGTTCCGCTTGGCTGGCCATGTGCAGTGTGCACTTCAATTAGACTTCAAGACAGCGATGAACCCCATGCCCCATGTGACAGAAAGAGAGTTTTAGAGCTTGCAGCTTGCAGCTGGCAGAGCCACGCTTTCTTTTCACGCTTTTGTCACTTAATTGAAAAGTGATGGGGGGCAGTGAACTAAACGATCTGTGGCATGTGGCGCCTGACATTACAATTTGGGATGCCTGCCTAAAAGTTCACCCAACAATTAGAGCACAAAAAGGGGGTACAAAATGTGGCACAAACTTCACTTTTTTGTCCCAGTTAATGCCTATCCCTCGGTTATCGTTCGACTTACCGACTCAGCTCAGCTGAAACGAAATTGCTGTGCGGACTGTAGGTGGCTGGATCCTTGTACATGCTGCACACAATTCGCTCCTTGCAGAGGTCATTCTTGACGCCCAACTGCTCCACGATTTTGTCGATTTTCAACAGAATGGGACTGTAGAACGGATCATAGTTCAGCGGGTACAGCGGCTGGAGAAAAGAAAGTAAAATTATAACCAACAACCAGAGCAGTTTAGTGGCAAGCCAAACCTGTCCATCCTGCACGAATGGCTGATGCTCGAGTATTTTCTGCTGCTGCTGGATGAGACGCTGCTCGGCCTGAATGCGAATGGCCTCCTTCAGCTGTGCGGCCAGTTCGGGCTGTGTGGAACAGAACAGAATGTTGAGTTGAGTTTCAGTTGAGGCTTTGTGTAAGGGTTTGCCATGGACATGGGCCTCACTTGGAGTGGCACACTTTCCCGGACAAGTTCCCATCACATTACATTTGTGATGCTTGTTTGCTGTGGGCTGTGGGCTGTGCTCATTTAATTAAGGTGGAACAGCGGGGCATTTGGCCAGCTTTTGCGGATTTCCCTGCCACTTGCAATGGCAAAGTGCACTTTAATTATGGGTTTAGCTGACAAACCACCTGTCCGAAGACACACAGCCCACATGACACGCTCTGGGCTGGGCTGGGCTGGGCTGGGCTGGACACTCCGAAAGTGAAAACAGCCCTGCAGTTTGCAGCTCGTCGTTGAATCGTTAAATGAAAATAACATTGCAAACTGCAGTCAGCTGGGAAAAGGGTCACAAACGAGAAAAACTATTTGCGACTCTGAGGAAAAGTGTCAATAAATGAGACACGAGGCTGCCACGAGACAAGTCTAGACATTTGTTTGCATTGCCAACAAGTGAAACTGCAGCACTAATGAAGTCTCGGGTTGGCTCTGGCTGGGAAAGTCTCCCCAGGAGCACAAAGTAAATTGTTGTTTTTTCTTTCCCCCAGAGACAGTGAAAAATATGCAGGAGCAAAACAAACATTTGCTTTTGCCATCGATCGACATGGAGGTGTCTGTGTTCGGGCATTAGAAATACAAATTCAATTTTTATGCTAACTGAGTTGTCTCCGGGCTCTTAAATTTGAGCCACAGGAGGGAAGGCAAACCCAAAGCTTTGTTTTCCTGGGGATTCTTCTTGAATTCCAATTACAAATGCAACTTCGTGGAAGTCGTGTGTGTGTGTGTGTGGCAGTACTCGGCATTGGTATTGTAATGTGATACGCACCGAAAGTTGTGGCTCCTGTGGCTGCTGCTGCTGCTGCTGCTGATTGTTCCGTGCCGGCTCGTATTGTGCGGCAATCTGTGCGGCAGCCGTCAGTCCCTGTGCTTGTCCTGGTCCCAGCTGTTGTCCTGCTGCGTACACCGGATGCGACTGGCTGTAAGCTGGCCTTGAGCTGGAACACGCAAAGTGGGAGTAAGTATTACGTTTCTGGTACGAGCTCCCCTGCTGTTCTCTGTGCCACAATAGTTTCATCAGAGAGAGAGAGAGAGGCTCCAATTTCCCTTTAACTCGTTTTTTGTGCGTGTAATTGGTAAAAATTACAACTACAGAATGATTGCTCTGATGTCTTGTTTGGGTTTCATTAAAAACAATTTGTTAATTACATTTTCATGTGTGTGAGAACAACAACACTTCGAGTCTCAATGGGGGGCAAGAGTAAGGCACTTTGTTCAACGCTTTAAAGGCTCCGGCAGCGTATCAATGTTTATCTTTGCCATAAATAAATGTAAGGGGTGGCAGTGTATCATTTAAGTAGGTGCTTGGTGCCCTGGTCCCTGGTGTCTTACATGTTAGTAGAGTGTATTAAGAACTTATTTATGCATGTGTGTGTGTGTGTGTGTGTGCTCTGCATATACCTTTGCTTATCCTGACTCTGAAATGGATTTAAACTGTGACTAGAGGCATGAACTTTCTGCTGAAATTTGTGCTGCTGCTGCTGCTGCTGCTGCTGCTGCTTCTGCTGGTGTGCCATCGGTGGCCGGGATTGCTGTGTGGCAGGCCAACGTTGCTGCTGCTGCTGTGGCTGCTGCTTGGGATGCGTCGTCTGTGTGGTGCCCAGACCCCAAGCATGCAGTACCCCCGCATCGTTGGCCGTATTTGGCTTAAAGTAATGCGGATTATCCTCTATTTGTGCAGCGCGATTTATATCGCCTATGTAGCTATTGTGATGAAGAGTTATCGTTCGTTGTGTGAGCGTGAGCGAGATGTGAGTTTAGAGACAAGACAGAGACAGAGAGAGAGAGAGAGAGAGAGAGACATAGATGCAAATAAACATAAGCACAAAGATAGAGAGAGTGCTGCCAGTGCCATTCCCATGGACTTACTCAGAGCCCAATCCCGGGCCGCTGTTCTCCCAGGCGCCCTCGAAGTGCTCGAATCCTCCCGGGCCATGGGTCTCGTGCACGGGCGCACCATGGAGATACGCCGATGGATGACCCTTCGGCGGATGTGTGTAGATAATGTCGGGCACCGACTGATGCTCTCCGCTGTGCCATGGTGGAACCACCTAAAAGTGCGCAGACAACAAACAACAGAAAAAGAAAAAGAAAAAGAAAACCCAAGATAAGCTTAAATTGAAAAATGTAATGGAGCAGTCGAAGCTGCAAGGCTTCTGCTTGACATTTAATAAACTCGCTGGCAGCCAGAAGTTTTTTTTTGCATTTGTTGTGCGTGTTGGAGGGGCTTCTACGTCGAGTGGCGGCTCCTCATCACGACACTTTTTGAGCAGCTATTTATAGCCAACAAATACTGAGGCGGCTGCTGCTGCTGGGACGCATTACATTTCCCTTTGCTACTTCCCCAGTTCAATGACTGCCAAATAGCCGTAAATAATGTCAGAAATTCCGAGTGTGTCGTGTCATTGCCTCTGGCTTGGGGTTTTGTTTCGTAGTTCCAGCTTTGGTTTCATATTCCACTTGTTATTTGTTGGCTCGTATTTTGTGTCGTTCTATCGCCGTCTTGGCGCGGAAAAGAGGTGACAAAAAGCGTACATTTGCCACATCACAAACAGACGAGAAATGTGACGCTCTGAGTCCTTACTCTTGTGTTTTTTGGGCCTGGCCAGGGCTGGACTGAGAGAGAGGAAAGTCTGCGGAAAGCCATAAACAAGTCGTCTCCAACAGCAGCTTTTTTAGCGCTCTTTTTTATGGCCACTGGGTGATTCTTTTCGCATAACTTTCCACAATTAGCGCTTGAAAAAGAAGATCTCCCCTTCGACTACAAGTTTTCTCCATTGACTACACTCTTCTCAATCATTTAATAGCCGGCCTAAACCCCATTTGCACTTGACTACGTGACAGCCATTAAGCATTTTTAAAGCATTTATTGAATGCCGACTTAAAGCTAGAAAAACTCTGTCCAAAGCCGGATGGAATAGAATTTCAATAAGCAAAACACAACAGCTGGGAGGAACCCGGATAAGTCTGCCAGGCCCTGGTTTAAGCATCGATGGCAGAGAGTTTTCCAAATGCGAATATAAATATCCCATAAATACGATTATCTACTCGTGTGCACAGCACACTCCTTCCTGCTGGATGGGTTGGGGCTTTCAGGTGGGAGCTATAATCCTCGCCAACGATGGCATTTCATTTGGAGATATGTCAAGCAGCTGAGAGCTGTCTCTGGCAGCGTCTGTGTTTGCATTGAGCACGTGCTAGCTCCTACTTTCCAAGTACTTGTACTTTTCTAATTGAATTTCCAGCACACCCAGAGCCAGACGACACTTCCGAACCGGCAGGCGGATAGACAGACTTCAAGCTGGTTTATGAAATTTTCCCCACCAAAAAAAAAAAAAAAACAGAAAAGAAAAGCGGTGACCCCAAACCTGTTGGAAAAAATATATTTCTAATTATTATTTCTCAACTTTTGTACTTGCCGTGTGATGATGATCGATGAGATGATGATGATGATGGTACTTGAGCGGCGCATGGTACGACTGCTGGTAGTGGGAGCACAGCTTGAAGAGGTGCGACAATGCCGGAAACAGGAAGAGCAGGAACTTCAGGAGCAACTTCTTCGCAGCGCCAACACCAATGACGATGGGCAGCAGCCAGAATAACTTGATCTTGATGATTTTAATGATAAGCAGCAAGGCCAGGAATGACAGCACGAGTTTGCTGCGTAGAAATTTTTCTACACGCGAGACAGAGACAGAGACAGAGAGAGAGAGAGAGAGAAATTAAATCAGAGATAGAAATTTTTGAGCATTTTTTCGCTCATTTTTGAGAGAGTGAAAGCGCAGCTCATCTGCATGTGGGGATGTGCGTGACTGCAAGCGAATATTACTTACGTATTTTCTTCTGGATTATCATGCCAGCGAGCCGGGCCTTGACCACCTGCTTGGGTATCAGCTCGAGCTTGGCAATAATGCCATTGCCTTCGATGGAGCGCGGGGAGATGCGGAATGTGGCGCCGTTGAACATTACTTCTGGCAAATCAACTTCCAGATCGTGGGTCATTGCAAATTTAATACTTTTGCCATACAGCGCAGTTGTCACTTCCTCGATGGGGGTTTCCGCCGGATTGGCTGCGCAAGAGAGAGAGAGAGAGAGAGAGAGAGAGAGATTGACTGGCATATTTGGGTTATGGAAAGTGGAGAACGAAACGTTAATTCGATTGCATAAATACTTCGCTTGCTCGCAACTAATTATCTCAATTTTCTGCTGCTAATTCTAAACAAAGTTTAGCGGCTGTTGCGCAACTCCCGATGACCGGTTTAATTATTGTTAATGGGCAATTGTTACAGTTACAGCAGCTGCCAAAACCCATTGACTGTTGACCAAAAATGCGGCAGAGTAAATAATTGAGCGCCGTGTGCCGTGACTCACATGAATCGAGAGCTTACAATACCATTTACGACTGACTCTCTTCGTAACACACACATAAAATAAAATCAAATCAAAACCCAGGCAAGTGAAAGTTTTCTCTTTCAGCTTGCGGTGAACGTGCTCAGAGGTAGAGGTAAATAACACAGCAACAAAAACGCCACACAAAAACGATGCAGAAGAAAAGAATTTAATGTGAAAACAGATCGAACGCGCGGACGCGGACTGGCATGCCAAAGGGTTTTTGGACTGCCTCTGCCGCTTACGTAAGACTTTCGTTTGTGTCTCAAATTCTTGATAAATGGGGGGTGTGGGTGGGGGTGTGGGAGGCAAAACACTTACCGGCACGCGCTCGATTTGGTATCTCGTTTGCATTGTGCTGCTGCTGCTGCTGCTGCTCCTGCTTCTCCGCCTCGTACTGCACTTGATTCTTGAAGAACTTGAGGCGCTGTGTCACGTTAACATCCTGCACATCGAGCGCCTCATTTAGATAGCTGAAAACGTTCTTTTGAAAGCACGAGATGTCTGGCCGTAGATAGCAGTCGCGAATGATGCCATCCCAGAGCTCATTGCCGCTGGCAAAGCGTCGGGCCAGACGCAGCAGCACGGAGTCGCTGCCAGCAGCTCCTTCATCCATCCGCTTCCTGAGCGGCAGTCCCTGTGTGGCATTCAGCACAGGCTGCCACTCTTCCTGTGCCAGTTCCGTGGCGGACTCTGTTGGCTGCTCTGTCGTTGCTGGAAGCTCTGTCGCTGTCAAAGGTGTTGTGGATAGATGGCGGCCAATGCGTCCATTTCGTGCAGTCTCATCCGCTTTGGCGACAAAGTTGATTAGACAGAGCATGGCCAAGAGCAGCAGCCAAGTGTTTGACTTGACCATGCTGCCGCCTGGGTGGTGGCTCCCACTGTGCCTACGATTACGATTGCAATTCCGATTGCTGTTGCAGGTGCGATTTCTACTGTCCCGCTTTGAGGACCCGCTCTCACTTGACGTCCAATTATGGTGCATCTGTTCGAGCGGTCTGTGCATTTTCAATTTCAGTTTCACCTTCGCCTTCGCCTATTAGCACTTCCCTGAAGCAACTGACAACTGACAGCAGTGATGGCTGTTTGCACCTTTAACCTGGCAATTGCTCAAAGAAACGAAACCAAATGCCAGTCAATTTGTCTGTCCGTTTGGCTGTTTACTTATTTGGATCCGCTTGAGTGGCTGACTCCTCCCGCTGCTACGTGCTGCCCAACGTAGACAATGGCTGGGCTGCTGGGCTGCTGGTCTCGCCTTATTGGCGAAATCGTTGGCCACTTGACAAATCAATTTGCGAGCGAGGCCAAAGTAAAACCAGATTAGCCCGCAAACACAATTTCATTGATTTCCGCACTGCTGCTGCGCGCCGCCTCTTCCTCCTCCTGCTCCTCTTGCTGCTGCTGCTGCTGCTCCTCTTCTCCTGCTCCTCTTTGCTGCTAAATTCTTTTGGACAGTGGCTGCCTGTCTTGTGTGTGTTTTTTCTTCTCTTTCTTTTCTGATTGTACTTTCTTCACGTATTTACTTTGGACTCGTTTGTTGGTTTGAAGTTTCGCTGCCACATTTAGCGGCGAAGTTTTCTATTTGCAGAAGAGCTGTGAATTTGTGGGTAGGCTGGCTGGCTATCTACTAGCTGCAATTACTTCATCACACACACACTCACACCTATGGACTAACGGTGAACGCGTGTTTTACTTTATGTTACTTTGCTTTTCGCGTGCGCATGCGTGCGCGTCTGACCGACAACTGAGGTGGGAAGCGCTCGTGCTGTAAGCCAAGATCACTGCCAGACCGGACGCCTCGCTCGCTCTCTCGCTCTCGCTCTCGCTCTCTCTCGCGCGCGCGCGCGCGCTATCTCTACCTTCGTTCAGTTCGTTCGTCGTTGACTTTTCGCAGTGCAGTTTGCACTCACACGCTGCCGTTGCGAATATTGCTGCGAGATTCTTCCGCGGCGCAAAACCCTAACTGTAGTTTGTTGTTTGCCGCTGCTGCTGATGTTTCTGCATTGACCGCTGAAAGTTGTTTGGCTGAGTTTTCCAGTTAGCTCTGGACTGCTTCAAGTGCAGTTTGTCTGCCTCTGGCTGCGTTTTTCACGGCCATTTAGGAGCCACCACAAACAAGTTCTTGCTGTAGACAGAGTGAATTTTACTACGCATTTATTGGGTTAATATTTGTAGATGACATTTACCCACCTGCGTAGACTTTTTTTGGGCATTCAAACTGGGTCAGCAAATGGTTGGACTCTGGTCCGACTGTGTGGGGCAGAAGTTTCAAGCATTTTATATTTAAATGGTAAATGAAATGGCAAATTGAGAACGGTATTTGGTAACAATAGAAAGCAATCAAGTTGTCAAATAAAAATTCCATTACCTACCGCACAGAGTGCCCCAAACAAAGGGGGAAATGGAATCATTGTGTGCCACATCAATAAGCGGAGATATCAATCGAAAGAGCTGACCAATTTGGGTTAGTGTGCCAGGCTTTTTGGGAGAGTTCTAAACAGCATCAGTGGACTTAGGTAGAGCTACTTGATGGGTGTACAAATGCGCCATGCTGATCAAGTGTGTGCAATGCAATCAATTAAACTGAATAGAGCGCACAGCTGCAGCCACATTACTTGAGATTATTACTTTTAACGAGCTGCGACTCTCTGTGGCACTGGACGTATGCGTAATAATGTGGCATGTAACGCGTCGCGTTTGCGTTATGGCTTTTCATGTTAAAAGCATTCTATTAAAGTGCCATGTCGCCGACGACTTATGTCATGGCAGAGAAATACACATAAAGCACTCGTGCACGAAGTACACACAAATTGCTATAAAAATAATGGGCTGCTAAATCAAGTTTCGGGTGGCAGCAGCACCAGCACCAGCACCAGCAGAAGAACTCGCCCAACTGCCGCCCCTCAACTGCCATATGATGTAAGTTCTCTCTGGGAGTTCAGGCCGTGTCGAAGACCCGACCCCGGACTGACCGTTAGGCGAGTACTGTCTGGGTAGGGTTAGCGGCACAGAAACCACAGAACTTTTGCTCTTGAAGATTTTTGTTTGGTTTGGACTTATGCAAGATGTGGGTATCTATTTAATTCATCGCTTGTCGGCCCTGTGCCCTTTCTCTGTGAATGCTTTTTGCTCTTTTTAATAACGATTCAATTACATTCATCTTAATGACACTTGAAAATGGCCAACCCGATTATGTTCCGAGGAAGGTAACAAGCTTTCCCTGTGCGTCTGTCAGAGTGCTGCTGGGCCTGGGACTGGAGCTGTCAGTGACAGCATTGCCGTGAGATTTTATTGCATTTTTATGTGACAATTTCTCGTGCAGATACGCATACAACATCGCAGAGCTGCTGCTGTGAAGGCAATTTAAGAGCGAAAATGTTCGACAAGAAGTTATGTAAAGTTCAAGTTGAAGCATGGAAAAGCATCTGCAAACTGCAGAGGACAGCTTTCGGTTTCAGTTTCAGTGTCAGTTTCAGTTTCAGTGGAACGAAGCCCCGCCCCGTGAACGTATTTAATAGATTGCTAATTTCACTTTATGCGTGGCTCACACTCTGCTCGAATGGGAATGGCGTGCAAATATTTTGAAAAGTTTTTTAAACTCCTCAGCTCTAGGTCCGACTGCTTGGCTCACATTTCTATTGTTGCGTTTTAAAGAGAAATCCATAGGCAGAGCGAAAAACAAATTCACTTTCGTTGCGGTTAACCAGCTTGACTTACTAATGGCTGATTAAGTCCAAATAGATCGGCTTTACCAATGATTTTGTAGTGCTTAATGTTCATCCACTGGGCAAAAGGTACGGCAACGAATCAAGTTTAATTATTGCTCGGCCACAGAGCGACAATAAAGCGAAATAAACATTAATATATTATGATGAGCAGCAGACCTTGCATAAAACATTGCCAGTTTTTACTGCATTTATTTATCATTAAACTACGACTAATCCATTTGTTTACTTCCTTTCGAGTATTCCCCCCATTTGTAGAACATTCTAAATGTTTTGTTTAGAGTGTTTTAGAATCTACAACCACTTGGCACGCCATCCGGGAGCCCCTAATTGGCATTCTAATTTACGTTGCTGCCTGCCTGCTGTCTGCCTCCTACTTGTTGGGTATTAGAGCGCGTTGTGATTCTCATCTGCTGCATGCGCTAATAACTCAAGTGAGTGGGAGAGGGACGGGGGACGGGGACGGGGCGCGCTTTAAGAACTTTATTTAAGCCTCCAGACGCCGCAGACCCGCAGTAGAAATTTCACTTTTACAGCCATTTGCACTCTCCTCGCTGGCAGGAAGGTAAGAAACGGGTTTTATATTCATTTTTTTTTTTTGGTTGTCGCTTGATAAGCCATCCCGGCAGTGTGCAGCATAACCGGCTTGCCAGCTGTTTGCTTGGCTTTTGTTTTTGAATGGAACTGGGTCAAATATTTGCATTTTCATGGGCAATCATCAGCATCGATTTGGATTCGGAATGCTTCACTTTCGGGGCTTTTACTTACTGTTTATTTGCGCCAGAGACAATCACAATTGTAGCACTCACACTCACACTCACTTCCACTGCCTCCTCATCGACTCATAATTCTTGTCGCTGCTCTTTCTGCTGTTGCGTGACGCTGGCTAATTAGCAAGACACTTTGTTGTTATTGTCCGCAGGTTGTTACTTTCGCTATTTGCACGAGCGTTTTCTTAACACCCCAAAATGCCGGACATTTGATATCCAGAATTCATCTTGTCCCATCGGGCGTCTTTCACTTTTTGTTTTTTTACAGCTGCTTGGGCTTCGCGCTGCGACGTGGAAGACCGGCGAACGTTTAAGACAAACTGAATCGAGGTGCCAGACAAGATGCGGCCCACTTGGGGTGTTGCTAATGGTTTGGTGATGTTGGGTGAGCCTTAACCTTGCCATACCGGTCTCGAAAGACAGCCAGGGAGAGAGTGAGAGAATGAGAGAGTGAGAGATTTGGTTGGATGCCTAAAAGTATGCCCCGACTGTGTTTGTCTCCCAACAAACCTTAATTAACAATTATTATATTATTAATTAGCAAAATCATTCAGGTCTGGCTTTTGCACTCAGCCACTTTCCAATTTGGATCGAATATTCGCATATAAAAATGGAAATTTCTGCAAAGAACTTTAGTACATATCATGACACCATGAAGGGCATCTGCGGTGGTAAGAAGCGGGAATACTTATCCCAGAAAATGCCAATCTCATTGACTCCCTCTGCAGCTGCAACTGTTAGCCTTGTGCTTTGGATATCTTTGATAAGAAACGCTCACGCGGAGGATAAGCCTCCGCTGTCTGTGCTGACAGCTGCAGGGACTGCTGGGCAAACCCCACTAACAACGGAGGCAGCAACCACCAGCGATGCTGAAGGGGAAGTAACCATTACTCCAGCAACACAAACCGAGCCAGCACGAGCGCCTGCCAAGAAGAAACCTGCACCCGGCGGCCCTCAGGGTTATCTCGAGGCCCAACTGCTGTCAATGCCTGAAATGTGGAACAGTTCTCCCCGTTTAGCACCTGTCTCGCGTGTGGATCTCACCCGTGCTCCGTTCTACTACCCAATGCCGGTTTATATTCCATATCCCATCCCATTCAGGCCCTGAAGACAGATTTGGTGCGAAGTTAAATGAACTATTGGCCGAGGCTTTACTCAAGGACTCGGGTTTGAATCTGAAAAAGATTTGGAAGGACCAAAACGACAATAAGATCAACAAATCCCACAGAACCCACAAGACTGAAGAAGCGGAGTCCGGCATGAAAGCGAAAACTCATTTTGGGGCAGGGAAAATGGAATACCTAAAGGCAAAATAATTACTAGAAATTCGCAATCAATAATAACATAAATAAAATGTAAAAATGCAAACACAAATCAGACTTAAATTCATTTTAACTATTTAATTGGATGTGGTTTTGTGACCAAATATGAAAGTGCCACTTGTAATGTTTCATGAGGCTGACAAGTACTTTGGCTGCAGTTCGATGGGGTTTCAATTATTTCAATCAGTGGCTTTGTTTAATTTTTAGCTTATAAGTTATTATTTTATTTGGTTGTTCACAATGTTCAACTCTCTTGTTTGAGAGCCCAATCTAATCCCATTTCATTGGGTAGAATTGTTGTTTCCTCTCCGTGATACAAACTGCCATCAGTCGTACCAAATTCTACATCATTCTGCCCTGAAGTTCTTGTCTCCTTTGTGGGCTCTGTGGTCGCAGGTGCTGCTGTCGTGGTTGTTGTTGTCTTTGGCTTTAAATTCTGCACTTTACCTTGCCACTTTGTAGGTAGATTTCGACTTGCAGTCTTCTTCGGATGTTGCCCCTTTCGAATCTTTTTGCGTTCTTTGCTGAGCTGCTCAGGCAGTAGTTCATTGAATTGCACTCCGCTTTGGTCCTCCGGGGCATAGTTCAGCACAAATGGAATCGGATATGGAATATATACAGGCAGCGGGTAGTAAAACGGGATCGCAGAGGGTGGTACTGGAACTGGCCTTGCAGCAGCATTTGACAGCGGAAAACTGTTCCACATTTCAGGCATTGACAAGAGTGGGGCCTGAGGGCCGTTGGGTGGCGGCTTCTTCTTGTGAGGCGCCCGTGTGGGTAGTTGTGGTGTCTCTGGAACAGCTGTAACATCGCTGTTGGTTCCTGGCTCCGTTGCTTCATATTTGACTCCCTCCGTTGGCACTGGCATTGTTATGGAACTCGTCAACACGATCAGTGGAGGTTTTCCATCATCTCCTTCAGCTCTCAGCACAGACAGCGGAGGCTCATCCACCGCATGGCCGTTTCTTATCAATGAAATCCATACTAAAAGACTGACAGTTGCAGCTGCAAAAAAAGTCAGTAATTGTACAATTTTGGTAGTCAAAAGTACTGCAGCTACAAACCGCAGATTGGCTTCATAGTGACACAAAATGGACTAAAGTTCTAGTGACAAAATTCGGTTTGTTTTATATTTTTTTTTTAAACTGGGTCATATTGAAAAGCAGGCCAGTGGTTGGAGAAATTCATGTTTAATGAATTTGCTAATTAATACGAGTGGAGAGGAACAAGCCTAAGTTTTTCGCTCTGAAGTTTAAATACATTTTCAAAGTTTTGTTTGCGAAAGAAACTTTTGCCAGGCTCTTCTTTTGAGACTAGAACTTTATTTTGCACTGAGAGCTTAGGTGAGGGTATTTAAAAGATTTCACATACCGTCTGATAGTTGATTCTTCTCGGACTTTGCTAATTGACGTTGATTTTATGCACAAGAATTTGGTAAACTTTGACGTCAGTCGACTTTTTGATGTGGCTCTGGCTGAAAATAGTAAGGATTAAATATTATATTGAGGTTCATTCATTTATAAACTCATCTTAATGTAAATTAAATGAGTCCAACGCAATAATAAACAGCTCTAGAGCTGAGATATTCAATAAAAAAGACTTCAAATAAATAGAGGCATTGTTTCCACCATTTATTAGCATAATTATAGAGCTGTTCTATAAGTTTTTCATTGGCACTCAAGGCACATAAGTGTCTGGAACATGTCCATGTAGGCAGCACATCATATCCTCGGGGCACTTTCTCGCCTGATCGATTACCACAAAACATGATTTCTTGCACACACCCAGTTCATCGCAGACTGTGTAAAAATCATAAAATAGATTTAAGTACTCCTCAATCCCCGAGTTGTAAATTACATGTTAATTTTTTGCCTGCAGCAGAGGCAGCGATGCACATCAGCAGATAGAAAAGGCTCCACAGTTCGTTGGTCATGAACATTTTGAGGCGAATATCAATTTCCAGTCAACAGAAAATTGTTTAACAACTGTAACCCATTGATTTATAACGCTTAAAGTTGTTTCCATCATATTTGCCTGTATTTCCTGTCATGCTTAGAGTAAAATAAATAAATAAATAACCTAAAAGTAGTAATACCCGTGAATGCTGCTTCATCTACAACTTTTGCGCCTGACTGGACAGCAAATTCATGGATCTGGCATAGCCACCGTAGCCATAACCACTTGCGGTGCCACCGCCGCCGCCGCCGCCGCCAGCTGCAAAGTGGGGCGTGTGTCCGTGGCCATCCTCGTGGGTAACCGAGTGGGAGTGGCTTGAGGTGTAAATGGGCTTAGCGACTATCTCGTAGGTGGTGGACTTGCCACCGCCGGCCAAGCTCTTCAGGCCCAGCACGCCGGACAGCGTCAGGGCCATGAGAGCAGCCATCAGAGCCTTGCCCGCCATTAGGGCTATGGCGCCCAAGCCCATGGCCATGAGCATGCCCTTCATCATGACACCTGCAGCTACCAGAGCCTCCAGGCCGCCCTTCTTGCCGAACTTGTGCTTGCGTCCCTCGACCAGAGCCTTGTCGTCCAGCAAGCGGAAGCGCAGGAAGCGCGTCTTGAGGAGATTCTCCATTTTGGCCACAATGTAACCATTCAGACGAGTGTTGGGATCACTTGGATAGCTGCGAGCCACCTCTGGAAGCGAAGAGAGTGGTTGGTTAATCCTTTTTCTGCTTTAAGATGTGATTGCTGCTTACCCGCCATTAGCTCGGAGGTTTTCATTTCTGTGGCACTCTCATCCTTGACCACACTGACGCCGGGCAGCACGCTGAGCTCCTGCTGCTCGGCCAGCCGCTCCATGATCTTGACCAGCTCTATCTTCAGGCACATCCAGCTGAAAGTGGATGCCTCGCACTCGTTGAGTGGCGTCTCCAGTTTTTGTGGCTTCCTCAGAGGTTCCGTGTCAATGGCTGTTGCTTCTGTGGCTTGCACGCTGGCCGCCTGTCCATATTTGCACATAAAGGCGAAGAGAGCCAAGTAGAACAGATACTCCAGGGTCTTGATAAGCAACATCTTTGGCATGACAGATCTACGGTGCTACTGGGTACGACTAATGCTTGAAGGGATTGCTGGAGAGACTGCAACAACTGATTTTTATGGGTTTGGCTTTTATAGCAACTTCCACTTCCATTTCTATGACCATTTCCCATTTCCCTTTCACCAATGCTCTGTGTACTCTCTGTGGCCCCCTTGCTTTTCTAATTACCCAAACGATTTGTGGTCGAAATTCTTCCCAGCGTCAGTCAGCTGCGTCCAACCGGGCAACCGGGGCAGCAGGGCAACCAGGCAACTGGGGGGGCTGTCTTGGAATGGGTGGGACTTTCGCTTTCCTCTGCGGCCAGCGTTCAGTCTTGCGAGACGTACTACGACGGTCCGAACTACGGCTAATTCTGTCACCAAAAAAGTTCCAGCTAATGAATTCCCGGAGAGCCCTGGAAGCTGAGACTCCGCATAATTACCAGAGGCAGATAAAAGTCGCGTGCCTTGGACTTCCATAAATTAAGTCACAACATTTTGTCTGCCTAACTGGGGACTAACCAACAATTCATTGTTAATTATTACTACATTTTCATATAATTTCTCTTCTCTTCCAGCCTCTGCCGACGCTCGTTTCGCCACTTTCTATGCCCATGAGGTAAGTAATATATCTTTCCGTACTCCATCTTGACTGCCTCTTGACTCTCTTTATATTCATATTACACTCTGCGAATCATTGTGGAGCTGCTCTTTGATTTTGGCCTTTCCATTAGTTTGATTCCAAATGGCCCAACAAGAAGGTCTTAATTTATTATTTGAGCTTGTATATCTATTTTTTTATTAACTTTTTTTTTTTACATTTTGAGGGTATTGTGTATTAAATTTGAATAAATATTAAACAATTCGACTATTATTCGAATATTAAACTTTATGGCTTTGGAGGGGGCATAGGGGCAGCGGTTGTCGTGGTCTTCTTATTTTTAAATCTTTGGCCGAATTTCTTAAAAAATCCATCGTGTTCATCTGGAGGAAAGCGCAGTTGACCATCAGCATCCAAAGGGGCATCCACAAGCTCTGCCTTCGCAGGCAGCTTCTCGGTTGTTCGAATTGAGTCACCCACGATAGCGGGTGCTGCCGTCGAGGAGCTCTCCTCGGTGACAGGCAGTGTCCAGGCAAGAGACACCAGCAAGCCTACGATTAGGGTGATTTTTATCAGGCATCCGCCTGCGATGTTGTTGCTTCTACCGTTCATCTTAGTGCTGGCCAACAGAACTGATGGTCAATGGTCGATTTTTGTCACTTATATACAGGCAGAATAACTGGGACACTTTCCTGTAATCAATTAGGAAGAATATGCAAAGAAAGCCGGTGGGCCTGGCCCATGGCAATTAAATTTGCTAATCAATTAATGAAACACAAATGTTCACACTATTTTTGCATGAGCTTCCAATCAATTTGGGCAAAGAAAGCAACTTTTCAGCAACGATGGCCAGTGGGTAATATCTAAACACCCAAAGGAAAAAAAAGTAACTAAATTTAAAAAAAAGGAAATATTTTTATATCTAATTTAAATATTGTTCGCTAAAAATTGCAAGTTTTAAATTAATATAATTGAATAATTTATTTAAAAATGGTTGTTTACAATTACCATGCGCTTTTTTTCCTTGGGTGTACCTACGCATGTTACGTCAGCTATGGAGGGCCAGCCGGCTACCTGCACACTTTGCTAGTGCAGGCTTATCTCTTGATCTTCAATGGCTCTCGCCATTGCTCTCTCAACAATAACAACCACATACGCTGTGCAAGCGCTTGCAGGCTGGGGGTTGCATTTTGTTGCTGTTTGCTGTCGTTAAACGGTACCGAATTTTTTTGTTTCATTTCCTCTTTGCACCGTTTCTTCTCATTGAATGCTTTTTCAATTTATTGCGTCAGAGATGCAGCGGCAGCCGGCTACCTACTCGCTTTGCGTGCAGTGAAGTCGCAAATAGTCTTATCTTTTCATCTTCACTTCGCCATCCATTCTCTCCCGCAGTAACAACAACAAAAGCTTGCAAGCGCTAGCATTTTGTTGCTTTTGCTGTTTGCTGTCGTTAAACGGGAGCGACTTTTGTCATTTCATTTCGTCATTGCATTCTGCGTTCTTTCACCCTCGCATTGCATGCTCTTTCAATTGCTGGTTTGTGCATGTTCCGATTGAATGATTATATTTCTTTGATTGCCTCTTTTCAACAGTGCGCTGGTATTTATGGGTAAAAACTCTTGGTGGTGACTGTGGTTCTGTCGAATCAGAAATCAATCCAATCGCACAGTCAGCCATTAATCTTCACCTCTGATCAATATTGTGGACTATTTGTGCTATTTGTTGGATTGCCGTAGTGCCTAAAAAAGGTCGAGCCTGAAAATGCTTGTACAATATATCACGGCAGGATGCCGCTTCCTCACTTTGATGTTATTTATGGCTGTAGGTTATTTTTCGCTGATAAATTTTTGCTTCTTTACGAAATATTTGTGATTTTTTGCATTTGATGAATCATTTTTATTCAATTGCTTTTGCTTTAAGTTATCAAAATAAATACTTAGTGATTAAGTGGAGTAAGCTCTTTAGCAGGCATAATCTTCGTTGTGTTCGATTGGACCTGAGTGACATTTACATCCGCCAAGAGTTATGTATTGTGGAACGAAATGTGCAATAAATATGGCGCAAAATATTGAGTGTATAAATCCTTAAGCATTGTCCTGAGCTAGCCAAGTCGTGGGCATCCCCGTTCTAAGTTTCCTTGTTCTTTGTTTTTTTTTGTGTTTTTTTTCTTGTTGGGTATTTGGTATGTTGCAGCTAACTAACTAAAATGTAACTACTCGTAAATACATAATTATTGACTACAACGAATTAAGCCATTCTTCAGGGGGTAAAGTCTCATGTGGGAAGGGTGAAAGGTGGGTGAGTGGTGGGGGGGGGAGAAGCACAGGTGGGTAGGGGAATGGACTAGTAAAGAGGGGGAAGGAGGATGGATGGTTTGGTGGCGGGATGGCGGGTTGGCAGCTTAGAAGGGCTGAGCCAGGCCGTAGTGGTTGTAGGCCAAATCGGCACCGGCGGCCTGTCCATTGCGGCTCCAGTCGGAGTGCACAATATCGGCGTTCAGGGGGCTGCCAGTGATGTAGGCGGTGGTGATGTGTTCCTTCTTCTTGGCCAGCAGATCCTTGAAGAAGGTGGCACCTGCAGGGCAAAACGGGAGTGAGTAAACTTTCCTCGCTGTCACTTCAGCGTGCGAAACTTACCAGCCAGAATGAGAGCCAGGAAGGAGATGGCGAGGGCCTTCAGCGAGATGAACTTGATGATGGTGAACATGACCTTGACGACCACAGCCTTCTTCAGTTTCAAAGCCAACAGCAGTGGCAGCAGCATCTTCTTCATGCGCTTGCTCCGCGATTCTGTGCGTGGAGAGAGAAAGCGAAGAGAAAGCGGAGAGACAGTCAGTGGGGAAGGCCACCCAAAAGTATTCCATGTGTGGCAGCTCGGAGAAAGCTTTCACTGCCACTCGAGCAGCGGCAGTAAAGTATGCAACGTTGCCGCTTTTATTGCTGTGTAATCCGACAGTGCAACACGTTGTATAGGCAATGTACAGGGACACGACACTTCGCTTTCGGTTTACTCACCATCCATGGCACGGCCGGTGTACTCGTTCTCGGTGTTCTCCTCCTGCTCATCGCCGGAGAAGGAGAGATTGAGCTCGTGGGTCTCCAGATAGCGCTCGGCACGATCCTCGAACGATTCGACGGCCTTGTTGGCCCCAAAGCTGCGTCCCGCCTCGCTGCGATCGATGCGCAGACCGCCGAACAGCGGCACCGACTCCTCGTTATCCAATCTGTTGAGCATGTTCACTAAATCCTTTTCACTGCCATCCTGCGACGGCAGGGCCAAAGCGCCGCACACAAAGCTGGCCACCAGCACAACACAAACGAATTTCGCGCACATATTTCTCCGGCTATATCGATATTAATATTGATATTTATATTTATTGATAGATAATCCTGCGATTGGATTCCACACTGGTTCGGTTCGGTTCGGTCGGTCGGGACTGCGACTGGCTGGGGCTGGGGCTGTTGGCTTTGCGAATGGAAATTGCTTTGTGATTAATTGTATGCAATGCCCCCGCATTTTATACCTTTTCCACAAAATCGGATGCGTGCCCGCCGGCACCGCACAGAGTCGATTGACCAATTTTGTGTGGCTAGAAATCGCGCAGTGTCCAAAAAAATGGTATATAAAAAACGCAGCGCACTGCAATAACAATCCAGCAAACCCAAACCCAAACCCAAAGCAGACACCAATTTATGCAAAACGCATGCGTATGCTGGCCAGCCAACAATTTCTTGACCATATTTCCACGCACGTCGCCCGCGAACGAAAGGGAAGTGACCGACCGACGGGATATGATTTTTGTGTACATATTTTATATAAGCAAATGGCCCAAATTGTATGCCTTGCACCGTTAGCTGACTGTAATTGGCATGCAGCACTCCACTCCACTCCACTCCACTCCACTCCACACTTGTCCCTTAAGTTTACCCCATTGCCGGGCTGGGGTACGTGACTGCTGCGGTGGCTCTGTGCCAGATTCTTGGGAGCTGCCTGTGCCCGAGCTGCTGCGCCATCGCTCATTAGGCGTGCCATTGAATTCCATTAAAGCGATTATTAGTGGCCTGCCCTTATTTGGTATGCCTCCAACGTGGTGACTTAATGCCCGCTTTGGCCCAGTTAGTTCGCGCTTTCAACGCTTTCGATTTCATTCTCTTTCTTGTCAAGTGTCGCTCTATTCGTTTCTATCTCAATTGCTTCTAAATCTATTCCCAAAAGAAAGCGCACACACAGATATATCTGTTTCAATCGCAAAACTGACACTTTTATGAGCATAAGTAGAAAGTTTCCTCCGCAACTTGTGTGGCGGCAGACAATTAACATGCCGCGCCGTGGACTCACTACAGTATTTGAGACTCCAATTATGAGCAGACGACAGGGCCGAGGCTGAATCCAAAGCTTATCAATTCTTTTTGCACAGCTCAGGCTTTTGGCTGTAGCCAGAACCTGCCACAAGTTTTAATTGCCACAAGAAACTTGTTGCCTTGTTGCCTTGTTGCCTTGGGTCAACTTGGGCCCCCATTCGACTGAGTTCCAAATATTTTTGTCGCCCAACCAGTCTGCCGGTGAGTCGTCGTCTGTCAGCATTTCAATTAAGCTGCCCCCATGGGAAAGTCTTTTGCCAGCAGGTAAACCTTCTGTCCAACCCTCGGCTTCAGTTGTGGAGGCACGTGCAGGGATTTCGCTCTGCACATGTGAGGAATGCCAGGGCTTGAGGAAATACTTTTAGTTTTATTCAAACATTCATAATGACTATTTCTCTTGCTGTGTGTGTTCGACTGTCTCTTGTGGTACAATAAATTAGTTAATTACTCTTTGAATAAATTACTACATGCTAGGGGGAAACAAAGGCACATTCGTGGCACCACGGCTACTCTTCTGACGCTCCTGACTCTCCTTCCTACCGCTGCTGGCCGGCGTATGCCAGCTGCTGGGCATCGACCTGCTCCTCGCTGATGCTGCGCGCATAGGGATACGAGGAGGAGGCGCCCGAGCTCCAGCCAGCACTGGCCGGGGCAGACCAGGCGTTCGAGTTGTAGCCACCGCCGAAGGAGCTGCCGCCGAACTTGTTGCCAAAGCCGCCCAGCAGACGGGAGCCGCCGACGAGGATGGCCAGGAAGAAGGCAATCTTGGCCACGATCACAGCCTTGAAGGTCAGCAGAGCGAGGAAGCCCAACACCAATGGAATGACGGCGAACAGCTTGGCGCCAATAGCCAGAGCCAGGGGACCAATCATCTTCTTGATCTTGCCGCGACCTGCAGAGCAGAAGAATGTAGAAATTTGAGAACCAATTCAAGGGATGGGGCAACAGCCTCGAACTCACCTTCATCGAGAGCGCGTGCCACCTGCTGTGTGGTCTCCGTGGGCAGCTTGAACTCCAAGTTGTGGGTGGACAGGAACTCGGTGGCGCTGGAGATGGCCAGATCGACGAGGCGACCATTGCGGTCCTCGGCGCTCTGTGGCAGCTCCGCGTAGATATCCTGTTCGCTGAGGGCCTTGCCGCTGCGCTGCACGGGACTGGCGGGATCTCTGCAACACATTAAAAACGTTGTCAAATGCAAGCCACTTTCAGTTTTCAATTCGATTTCAATTTCAATTTCATTTGATGAACACAAACACAGAAACACGGGGAAAAAACACAGAACAAATGGAACACACACCTCTGGAAGGTGATGCCGCTGGCCAGCTCAATGTTGTTGCTCCTGGCGGCACGGTTGAGGGCCGTGATGCCCTTGACAGCTAGACAGGTGGCCATGTCATCGCTCTCCAAGCAGGCGCCCAAGTAGCGGGCGGCCCTGCCGAGCGTGTTATCACTTTCGATTCTATTATCTTGGACACTGGGAGCGGCCCAGGCGCAGCTGGCAGCCGCCAACAAGGTAACACAAGCGATGGCAAACACTTTCATTTTCCTTGAACTTTAATCCTTAATCCTTGCTGTAGCTGAGGCTGAGGCTGAGGCTGAGTCTGATGCTGGCTGCTGCTGAGCTTCGAGAGCGTTGAGATGAGTTTGATGTATGCGTCTCGAGACGTCTAGCCTTTTATATTGGGCGGCGTTTTTGCTGGCAGCGCAGTCGCACCGCATTACAAAACAATTTCAAAGTAAATTAAATAAAAGCAGCCGAGACGCAGCCGCAGCCGCAGCCGCCGACGCAGCTGTCGACTGCGGAAGCAACCAACAAAACGACAAAAAAAACAAAAAAAAACGCGAAAAAATATGCCGGCTCTCCCGAAGTCGGAGTCAGCGTCGTGCAACGCGTTTGTACATAAATCTAGAAAATAAAGTCAACTTGTTTGTTCACTAAAAATGTTCATTTTGGTGGCTTTGTTGGGCAGCCCTGCTGCCTGCTGCCTGCTGCCTTTTTTTCGGGAGCGCCTGGCTTCATCCGTCAACGTCGCCAGCGTCGTCAGCGCCAGTGGAGAGAGAGAGAGAAACTTGTACTTGGCTTGGCTTGGCTTGGCTGTGCGTTGGTAAACATGCGGCATCATTGGCTCATTGGTGGTGGTCTGGGATATGGTCTGGGGGCATTTCGATATGCACACGCCCTCAATGAGGCTGTTTGCACGGTGGCCCAGCCCCAGTCCCAGTCCCAGTCCCAGTCCCAGCTTTCATTCCGGACTCTCGCAATAACCAAAAGTCACATATTTGCTAATTTATTTACGCTTCTTAGCCGAACGCTTCGATCCGGTTGCCATTTATTTCACGCTCTTCATATATGTGTTCCAGGTGTGTGTGTGTGTCGTGTATCCGTGTGTTGTGTCTCTCCTTTCTTTGTCGCATAAATGGGTCATTGGTGTTTGTCCACTCTGCTGCTGTTGGTGCGGGGAATGGCTTGTGAATCGTTTGCTGAAATAGTGTTTAGCACTTTGCTGATTGAATTGGACTGTCTATGTGGTAATAATTGAAAGTTAAGTGGGGTCTAATGATGAATAATAACATAAAAGGGGTACAAAATGTAGGAAACTTAGGTGATGTAAGGTTTAATAAGGGGTTAAGTGGGTGAAAACAACCAAAGGAATAAGGAACTATTCGTATCGTATTCGTAGCTTTTTTCCCCATTAAAACAGAGCAGTAAAGGTATACAAATTCAAATAAATATACGATAGAATAAATATACATAAATATAAATGATAAAAGAATTTTTTGTGATTTTTCGGAGATTTTTGCACATTTTTGCCAGAAGTAAATCAAGTCATAAAATTGTTTTGGGCATTAAACATGCATTAAAAAAAAAGCAAATAAGGTTCAAATTCATGGCTCAGTCTCAAGGAATTTACTGCCAAGATATTAATAGCTATTCTACAGTTACAAAGCAGAGCATGCCACTGCTTTTATCACAACATTCCACCTGCCGGAATTCTCAATTTTCAATCCCACCTTGCCCTTAAGCCCTGCTCTGCTGCCCGACGCATAGTTTTCTCTCTCTCTCTCTCTGGAGTCTATTTTTATGTGTCCATTGAGGAACGTATTATGATTCATCCATTCCATTCCGCTCAAAGATTTTCCCAGTCACGTTCTGCCCTCACGGCCCACATTTTGTCCGCTGCATTGCCATGTTTTATGTTCGAGTTCTATTCGAGTTTCTCTGCCCGGGCCAATGCATCGTAAAATGTCAAGTTTCGTAGAAAAGATCTCTAGATGGAGTATACAAATCGAAGCAGCTTCAATTTGTTTTTTGGCAGCAACAAAATGTTGTATTTTTTATTGTTTTTATTGTTCCCAGCAGCTTATTCAAAGGGGGAAAATTGTATGCCGCTGCCTCGCTCACTTTCATTTATATTACAACGAAATGCGACACTAAATGTTGCCCCCAATGTGCTGCGATGTTGTTGCCGTGCGGCGGCGTCAGGCCTGTTGCTGCCACTGCCGCGGGCGTCGGCTTGTCACACGCTGCGTATGAGTGACGCGCCTTTATTTTCGGTTATTGTTTTAGCCCAAAAGAAAAAGAAAGTGCGTGCTGGCCAGCAGGAAAAGGAATGCCTTATCGAGCACAGTTTTGTGCAGTGATTCACTTGCTGCAAACATTTGCATGGCCCTCCCGAGAGCTTCCATTCATTGATGATGATGATGCCCGTCCCCGTCCCCGATCCAGTTTCGCTCTACTCCATTCATTGACGCCACAACAGAGTTCGCAGTTCGCGTCAGCGCTGCTTTGAGTGAAAGTTATGTAATTCCCATTGAGTTTTGCAATCTGCAGTGGGCCAGCCGCCGCCCCTCTGCGCAAACCGGATTGCCCGGCACCGCCATCCGAGACCTTATCGCTGGATTTTTACGAGTTTTGCCCACCCCAACTGCTGTCAAATCAAACAAAGTTTCTAAATGCCAATCATAAACAATTTCTCTTTTTGCTAGCTCTGTGGCTCTGTGGCTCTGTGGCTTGGTCTCTGCTTTTGATAACTGTCAATTCTGATAACCTTTCTCATGTCTGCCTCCCCCACATAATGCGTTCTTTACTCACACACAAAGTGTAGGCATTCGTTTCATTATTTATCCAGAGTCAATTAGTTTCGTTTCTTTTTTTGTTGCTGCGGCGTCGCTCAATTAGCCGGCAACAAGTTGGCCTAAGCAACGATTGGCAATTGGCTCGACTTCCCACTTGCCGCTTTCCTTCGTCTCGCAGCTTGTGGGTGTGGCCCCGTACTGCCCCTCTGCCCCTCTGCCCATGTGCGTTTGCTTTTCGAATTAGCTTCACGAGTTTTGCAGTTGCCGTTTTCGGCTGCCTTTGCCTCACGTTCCACTGACCCATTTGCGTGTTTTTGTATCCAACCATCGACATGCCAACAGAATTTTTGGCATTCCATCACACTGGCCAGCAGGAGGAGGAGGAGCCAGCCAATATTCTCGCAAACAGCTGAGATACAGTTTTCAGAGAATTTTAATTTGATTAGTTTAGGGGATAAACACGCGCCGGGGCTTAGCTCTCTTCCTGGAATGGCAAAGAACAAACGGACAGGCCAAATTGCTTACAAATATTTTATATTTTTTCTCAGCTCCAAGCCCCACGCCTTTTCCCGGCTAAGGCCGCAGCCAAAAACCGCACAAAATTTGTAACTCTTTGAGATATTTTATGTTTTGTTTGGGTTAAGCGCAACCAAAAAAATGCCAACAGGTGAAATTGATTTTCTTTTCATTTGTGCAAATATGAAAAGTCAATATTGTGCGTAGTCGCTGTGGCAGGCAGCCATCGATGTCTGGCTGAGAAAGTGCAGCTCCAATGTGGAGTGGAACGGATTTTGTGTGCATGTTTGCATGGATTTTTGTGTATTCATAGCCATTACCTTGCTCCCAGCTTAACCCCAAAACAAATTCAATTCCCTTTTGCCACACACTCTGGACAAATGGCATGCAGAGCAATTGCCATTGTGGCCCCTGAAAAAATGATTAAGGGCGCTTGTGGGATCACTTAGAGCCACAGCCAAAGCCAAAGCCACAGCCAGTGCCTGGGTCTGGGCCTAAGTATCATCGCCATCGCTTTGTTTAGCCCCATCCGCCTGAGCGCGAAAGAAAGTGAAATTGATGACACAAATGTTCAAACAACAAGCCCGGCCCGACATTGTGGCTGCATCTATGGCTCTGGCTCTGGCTCTGGCTCTGTCCGTACTGTTGTCTATGCTAAATGGCCTGGTTAAGTAATCTCGTGAGAGTCGCAAACATTGCGCAGTCAGAGAATGTTGTTAATAGCCAGACAGAGATGCGCGATGCGAGATGCGAGCTGACAAAAGGCAACGCCAAAGAGCACCGCTGACGTCTCCCGCTCCAGCCTAATTGCCATGCCAAGGCCTGCCTCTCAGCTTCACTTTCAACGTCTCAACTTAGAAAGAAGTCGCCGCCGTCGCCGTCGCCATAAAGATACGCCTTGTGGTTGCTGGTCTGTCTTTTTGGGTTGCTGCTTTGTTGATCGATTTGTTAGATACGCGGCAAGCATGCGCATACCTCGCTGACGCTTGTCGCTTGTCGCTTTTGCCCCACCCTTTGCCCACGCCCCACGCCCCACACACCTGCCACCTGCCACCTGCAATTGTGTCTCTGCTGTTTACCCAAATGGAATGGGCCCCGTCCACGGGGCATGGCCGCCCGCCCTACAACTTTCACTGGCTCCGCGCGGAAATGGAGGCGCGATGTGCGTAGCCCGAGCAACCAGACAATGAGTCAAATTATACTCAGCCAGCCGTGGAGCCGCTAGAGGCTTGCAAATGAGTGTCCTAGTGGGAGGGAATTTACTTATAGATTTTTAAAATATTTTTTTTTAAACTATTTTTGATTTAAATCAGTTTAGTATCGATTTGTGTTATAATAAAAAATGAATGTAAGTTTTAGGACTACTTTTTAGCATCCGAAATTTTGTAACTCATTTGTAAAAGTTTTTAAAATCGAACAAAAATTGAATATGATTTGTCACATAATTTTTTTGTTATCAGAAATGTTGTTACTTTTTTACTAAAAACTGAATGTGATGTGTTTTAATATCAATTTTTATTTTAATAATACAAAAAAAGAGTTCTAAAAAAGTATTTCAAAAATATTGTTCATAAAAGTAAATCGTGTTTCAGAATACATGTTGAAGGAATTTTTTTTTTATTTTTTAACTTTTAATTTTTTATTTTTTAAACTTTTTTTTAAACTTTTATGTTTCTACTTTTATTTTTTAAGCTCTTATTTGTGTGTTTGAGTTTTAGATAAGTTGAAATTTATTTAGATAAATTTAGATAAAGAGTTATAAAAAAAGTATTTCATAAATATATGTTCATAAATGTTCATAAAAGTAAATCGTGTTTCAGAATACATGTTGAAGGAATTTTATTTTTATTTTTTAACTTTTTTATTTTTTATTTTTTATTTTTTTAACTTTTTTTTAAACTTTTATGTTTCTACTTTTATTTTTTAAGCTCTTATTTGTGTGTTTGAGTTTTAGATAAATTGCACTTTTGTTCGGTTATGTACAGACACCTATAAATGGTTGTAAGACTGAGGAAGATGGAAGTAGGGGGGGGGGGGGGGGGGGGGGGGGGGGGGGGGGAATACTTTCAATCTTTTTGGGGTTAATGCTACACGAGTGTTATCGGGCCTCCCAAGTCGCCGCTGCATGCTGATTGATTGGTGACAACAACCTGTTGGTTCACTTTAATTTTTTTTCGTTTTTTTTTGGGCTTTACATAACCCTGGCCGTGCTGGCCGTGCTGCTGTCCAGGCTGTCTGCTTTCATTGCAACACGCGCACGCACTTGCGGAAGTGCCGAACGACCGCTGACAGTGATGGCTTGGCCGTGGTCGCTGCTCGATCGAGGTCTCTGGTCTCTGGCATGCGCAATAAGCCGTTATGTGCATAACGGCAACGCGGCTCGGCCAATGCTGTTAATTTTGTGCGCTGGGTCGTAACGTCAGTGCGGCATTTGATGTGCTAATTAATTGATGATGAAGTCGGGAGTTACGTGGCCTTATTTGTCTATGAACTAACACTTGTCTCCCTTGTTCTTGCCTATAAGAAAGGCTTGTAGAAGGTTGGGCCATGCTCCTTGGTCACGCCCAGTGGGATGTACGGTGGCCGCATGGGCATCCAGCTGCTGTCGCTGGGCGTCAGATCCCCGTGGGCCGCGAGCGCGTGCAAGCCCTTGAAGGCCGGCACCGATGAGTGAATAATCTCGAGACGATCCCTGGCATGCCCACCGCTGGACATGATCCACTTGAGGGCCAGCAGACCGGAGGTGGCCAGGGCGATTTTACCCATGACAAAGGACGAGGTGGAGAGCGCCGTCAGCCACTTGAGGACCAGCGGCAGCAGTACGATTTTGGCCACAGCTGCGGCAGCCAGCACGGGATACAGCATTTTGGCCAGCTTCTTCTGCTGCTTCTTCTGCTGATGCTTGCCGCGACCTGTGTGGGGGAGGGGGAGCCACTTGAGCAAATGGAAATCGAGGAAATGCTGCCCCAAACCCACCTTCTGCCTCGGCTGTCATCCACGTATCCAGCATGTTGCCCAGCTCCTCGGCACTCAGTTGGTCGTTGAGGAGCTTCTGCAGCTGCAACTCGGCAGTCTGCAGCCACTCACGTTGCACTCGATGCTGGTGCTGGTGCTGGTGCTGCTCCTCGGCGGCGGCGGCTTCCTGCTCGGCATCCTGCTCCACGGCCGCCACAATGGCACCGCCCAGCTGCACGGCAGGCGGCAGATGGCCGTGCACCACGCCCAAGGACACCGCGGCACACAGCAAGTGGAAAACTGCAATTGCGAGCGAAGTGTTGAACATGTTTAGACCGTTGCACAGCTCCCAGCCAACTGAGCAGAAGTCTGCGCCCACTGCAACCGGTAATGGTAATGGGGCATGCTCGGTGCGCTCCCTCCTCCGCCTCATCGTTGCACTTGGTTGCACTTGCAACCGGGGGTGGGCTGCAAGTTCTTTTGCTGGCCGCTTCGGTGGGCCACTTCTGGGTTCTACTGCACACTGGGGCAGGGGCAGGGGCAGGGGCCCGCTGCTTCGATTCAGTCTTACTTGAGCGTGAACGGACAGATTACATTTTCCCCCAGTTTAATAAACGAAACGGCAATTGCCTTGCTTGTGTGTGCCACACTCGTCGTGGGTCACTTGTCGCTGCCATCAACAAGTAAAAACTCTTCATTTTCGTGGCAGTTTCCCTGCCGCGTTTCGGTTCAACGGCTGGAAACGTTTTTCCATTTCTAAACTGCCTGAAAACTGCCACAAATCTGTGCAAATGCTTGCACCACGCAGGGATCTATGCTCCAGCGAGGACTCTTTTGCTAATTTCGATTAATTATGCAAATTTTGGACTACTTTTAAAGTTCTGCGAAAAGTTTAAAATTTCACAAAAATAAATAGTTCTTGGAACCAATTAAAATCGCATTAGTTTGAGTATTAAATAATTTAATAAATATGCTAAATAAATGGAAATACATTTACTACAAATATAAAAAAGTTTTGATAAAGTAAAAGTTTCCTGGGTATTTTGGTTATTTTCTGCAATTAATTGGCAATTAATTATGGAAATTCTATTAAAAGTGCATTAATAATTTTCGCATTAAGCCGAGCCAAAATGGGCAACAAATTGAAGCTTTTTCTTGTGTCTGCTGCTTGTGTGTGTGTCTGTATAAATACGCTTAATTAAATCCAAGCAAAAAGAAATATGCTGCAGTGCCAACGGAAATCAAATGACAAACAAAGTGAATTTGTGCGCAAAACGAAGCAGACGAGCCAAATGAACTTAGCGTAGGAGTACATGTAACTGTTACAGTATATAATGTATTACATTACATATACATGGTCATTTAGATTCATAAGCTAAAGCTCTTTTGCTGTCGCTGCCTCTCCGTTTGGCTCTGTGGCAGCTGCCTGAATGTAATTTATGGCCAGTCCGGTGTCGGCACTACTTTTATTTGGCATCCGGTTGCCGGGCATAACCACAGCGGCTGGGGAAACCCTGCTTAAGCCGCGAAAGCATTGAATTTAAAGAGGGTTTTAGGGAGTTCTGTGCCAGGACTTTTCCTGCTGCTTTTTGCTGCTTCTTTCATGTCACTTGTTTCAGCGGAAGTCCATTTTTATAGCCCACAGCCAGAGCAACGAACTTTCATCGAATTGCTTCTACGAATAGAGGGAGGAGGGGACGAACTGCGGACTGCGGACTGTTAACTAACCTTAATCAATAGCTAAATCTTAATTCGTACTAAACGCTGCCGACACATCAGATTTTCTTCAAGACAATTGCCTTGCTGCCATGGCCGCCGCCGCCAGTGGTCTTCAGGCTCATTACGGCCGTAAAGAGAGCAAAGAAGAAGCCGGCCAGGCCCGTGGTGCCGACGAGCAGTGTTAGGCCGCCAATGAGCACGGGTATGAGGGTGAGGAACTTCAGCTTGTAGGCAATCAGCAGCGGCAGCAGCAGCTTTTGGAATTTCTTTTTCAACTTTTTCAGCTTGCGGCCCTCCAATGCCAGACGCGGGCTCGACTCCTTTGAAGTGAATCTGGTCTCATCTGCAAATTGGGCAACAGCAGGAAGATCTGTTTAGTTGGTTGGTTAGTTAATTAAACGGTCAGTCACAGGCCGCAGACCCCCGAGGTGTTTAATCACCCACCTGCCGGCAGCTGCAGTGGTTCCTCCTCCAGCACATCGCCGAGTAGCGTACCCAGGGAGTCGCACAAGTTGCGCACTTTGAGCAGAGTTCGCTGGAAGGGCAGCAAGTACGCCTGGATGCCAGCCAGAGCTGTGTCTTTGCTGGCGTCGCTATCTGCCGCATCTTCCAGCTTATCGGCTGCGTGGGCAGAGTTGGTTAGACTTGAGGCTGGTTCGGCTTCCGCCTCCGCAAGTGGCAGCTGGCTTATGGCCAGGACATAGCTGGCAGGATCGCTCGCCTGCGCCTCCGCCTCCGCCTGTTTGTAATTTCCGCCTGCCGAAGGTGAGCTGACAGCCCTCTGCCTCACACTCTCATTATACCGATGATTGTAGGCGTAGTAATTGACAGGAAGTCGTTGGAGCTGCTCCTGCTGTTGCTGCTGTTGCTGTGGCAACAATCTGTTGGTGTTCTCGCTTTCCGGCTGCACTGAGCTGGCTGCCGTTGCCTGCAGGATAAGCCAATTGTTGCGCTGCCTGAATGGCTGCCACGCATTCAGCTCCAACTGTAGTTGCCCCTTGGCCCGTGCCGCGAGGATGCCGCCGGATGTGCCGCCATTAAAGCGATTGTTGCTGGAGCTGGAGCTGGTGCTGCCCCTTGCCGCCTTCATTGTTATGAGCACATAAATGCCAAGCACAAGCACTGCCACACGCTGCCACATGGTCGGTCCTCCTCTGTTGGCTCTTTTTCTCAGCACTCGACACACGCACTCCGCACGCCGCTTAGAATCGAACTGAGGGCTGCCTGAGGCCGCTCTGCCAGATCTGTTTTTGCAGTCGAAATTCTACAAGACATTCGACATTTTATGAACGTTTTAGTTGAGTGATTTAACGGCCTTTCCCCAAAAGTGGCTCCCACTTTGATTGTGGCTTTTTGGGCTGTGGTCAAGCGCCCATTTGATCGCTGAGTTGATCCAAGATTGCAGGCACACAGCAACTCTCACACGTAGTCTGTCAGGCGTGGAGAGAACTTGCCACTTGCCATTAGTTGTTATGGAGTGGGGTTGGGCTCTTGTCCAGTTGCAAGTTCACCGTTCGATGCTTCGTGGAGTGTGCTACACGTGCTGTGTGGCCCATTGAAGCGTTGCCCTTTTAATTACGAACACAATGCCCCGCACTTGTGGCCCGATAATGGTACACTTTGACTCAAACTCTGACTCTGACTCTGGGCCTTAATAGTTTCACTTTTCTGCATCGTTGCCCTGCGACTGCCCTGTTGCACGCTCAACGGCAAGAGGCCAACTGACAGGCTGGCACCTCCGCTGGCATTCTATGTAGCTGGATGTCCATCTCCTGGTCCCATCTCTGTGCCCTGTGAAAGTGTGCCCAATGCTTAAGTTCGTGTAATTTGGTCTCCGTGCGTGCTAATGGCAGCCCACTTATGCTGTCTCTGCGTCTGTCTGTGCAACATCTCACTCTGTTGGATACGCACATCAAGTGCCCAGCATGCGTTTAATCTCTCCTAATGGCTGATGGGCCACGACAGGTGAGCGGCGGCAGCAACAAGCGTGCAGGGCCATGGAAAAATATGAATTTGTATTGCACTTGTTGGCATCTGAAACATACTCTTGGGCGCCATGTGGCTGGCTTATACACAAGCCGAAAAACGTGGCACACTTTGCAGCAGTTCCATGAACATTGGCCTGTCAATGTGGTCTACATTTGGGCAGATTTATTCATTGTATCACGCATGCCCAGAGGCTTTTATTGCAGCTGGAAACTCCTTTTCAAAGCCATTCCAAAAGCCTGCAAGTGTGGGCTTAAAGTTGTTTCTTTTGTGTAGCTTTAGGGACATGTGTTGGCGTTTTGGATGCATAGAAAATGCAGACTTGAGGCTGCTGAAAGCACGGCTTTGTGCGTATTGCCTATTGGCTTTGTTCTTCCATTCGTTGAGAGTCCAAAATGATGGATGGAAGGCAGCGTGCAGCAGCAGCAGCAGCAGCAGATAATGCCAGAGACTCGAATTGTGTTCAATTGAAATTGCCATGGCCATTAACAGCTTGCCCATGATTGATTGTGCCAGAAGGAAGACTCTTTCACTGCACTAAAACTTGTCTTTTGTGCTGGCAATCCAGAGATCACACAGATAGCATTTGAAGCATTTATTTTTTATTACCTAACATTTGCATGTGCTTGAGCTGACTGCCGCTTTTGATGAGCTAACAACTTGTACTAGCCGCGCCCCTTGGCACCGCCTCGCCTCCCTGGCCTTGCCGCTGCCTTTCCACTGCTCCCCACTTTATGCTGTCTCATCGCCTCGCTTTCGGCTGTCTCTCCTGTGCTATATAGAAACTAGTTCAGAAAATATCACAACTCTTCCTACGCCCCGACATAATGGAAATCATAAATTAAATTTCGCTCACAATCTCCGGTTGTGGGCCACACAGACACCTCGGGGGCGCTGCACCACTACCCAAAAGCCACTTGGCTGACTCAAAGGCCGTGGCTGTACGGCGAAGCGTGTGCGACATTTAAGCGCTCCACCAGAAACACCAGAAACACCTTCATTGTGGTTGTGCGAGTCGACTATTAAACCGAAAAGCGTTTGGCATTTGGCATTAGTTCTGCTTGCGCTTTGTGTGCGTTCGTTTGTTTCCCCTAACATGAAAGTGAGTTGAGTGAGGATACGCCCCGCAGAAATCAGCTAACCAAAATCCCATTTTTCGTCCTTTGCTCAGTTCTTTGTATGTGTCTTGGCGCTGGCCGCGACTCTGGCCACCACAAATGCCGGACTGCTGGGTCTGCTGAAGGGCGGCGGTGGCGGTGGCTACGGTGGCTACGGTGGCTCCTCTGGCTATGGCGGAGGATACGGGGGTGGCTACGGCGGCGGTGGCTACAGTGGGTACAGCGGCGGCGGTGGTGGTGGCAACGTTCAAATTGTGAAAGTGATCAACAGCGTTGAGGGCGGACATGGCGGCGGCTACGGAGGCGGCGGCTACGGAGGAGGCGGCTATGGCGGAGGCTATGGCGGCGGCAGCTATGGAGGTGGCTACAGCTCGGGAGGAAGCTACGGCGGAGGCGGCTACGGAGGCGGCTATGGTGGCGGTCACTCTCGCGTGGATGTCTACAAGGTCATCACAACCACTCATGGAGTTGGTGGTGGCTACGGTGGAGGCTATGGAGGAGGCTATGGAGGAGGCTATGGCAGTGGCCAAAGCTACGGCAGCAGCTACGGCGGCGGTCATGGCAGTCAGTCCGGCTGGTGGAAGAAGAAGTAGACATCCACCCAGTCCAACCTACTCCGATTTCCGCTAGATTTAGCCCTAATCCAGATATAAAACCAGTTTACCTGTACCTGCCAAAAACTTCCCATGAAGCGTCTTTGTTCAATTGATTTTACTCCCCAAATTAGCCAAAAACTAGTTTGAGATTCGATCACAGACTGCGCGACGTCGCACCAATAAAAAAAAGCAAAAGTCAATAATTTAAAACAAATAATTTTACTTTTTCTTTGACCTTGATTTAGCTATTAATTATTCATTGATTTGTGAGGGTGATCATGGGGGTCTTTTTGAAACATTCTCAACAGAGTTACAATAATTAATTGCTTAACTATTTTGGTGAGGGTTTGTCCAAATTGGTGGAGATTTTTGGAGTCTTCCAACCATTAACAGGTTTCGTCTAACTTCAATTAATGGCGACAATAAATTTTAACCAAAATTTAAGCACCTCTTAAATATGCTTAAAAGTGAACGGGCCGGACTGACTTTTCTATAAATAAAATAAATAAATGTCGCAAATGGGTTTATTAAGTTTATTTTATTAGCCGTTGAGCATGAGTAATTTTATCCTGGCATAATCTAAGTATTATTATCTTTAAAGCGCTTTTATGTATGCCTTATTCTGTCTCTTTAATTCCAAGTCCATGTCACTAATGCCGGCCCGGAAGACAAATTCTTTTATGTACAAAGCGTTGGCTGCTTAAGACAGACAACAGGAGCCACAGGAGCAGCATATACTCGTAGTACAAGGGAACCAGCTAATTGGATGATGATTAATTTTATCCTAATTCAATGTGTGCCGTTCCCTGGCAGTAAGCCCTGAGTATCCAATTGTGATTAAGTCTGGGGGGGGGAGCATACTCGCCTCGTTCCTACTGCTTGTTGAAGCAATCTTTATTCTCTGACTTGCCTTTGCTCTTCATGTCGTGCAAATGTTTACACAGTTGAACTTTGGTCCATCTTGTATCTTGCTTGAAATCTCCGGCAGCCAGCAGCAAGAGAGTCATAAACGTGGGCCAAGAGGCAGCCGAAAATGGGACAAACAGCCAGGGACACACTCACAACTTGTGGAGTGGAGTTTATGGATGCCCGGGGATGCAACTGTTTTATAGGGCAAACGGAAGTTGTATTTCGGGTGAACTTTACCTTTAATCTTGCAGCTTAAAGGGCGCGGTGTGCGGCTTTTATTGAAAGGAGATTTCCTTGATTTATGTAAATATTTATTTATATGTTTTATATATTTTTTTTGTGTTTAACTTTTATGTTTCTTACAAACTTTGCTGCTTACATGCGATTTACACTTACTGCGCTACTAAATAAATAAGTTAAATAAATATTAATAAATTATTACACTTAGACACTACAAACAGTTAGAGACAAGTTAAGATTAATGTGTGGTGTGCGCTGGCAGAATGAGATTATGGAGAGGGAGGGGCGATGTAAGGAACGGTAGCAGGTAGCTGCTGGCAGTTGACTACGCAGAGGCGGAAGTACGAGAAGTAATTGAAAAGTGCAGTTAGCAGTGAGCGAGAGAGAGAGAGAGAGAGAGAGAGAGGAGAAGCGAGCAGCAGAGAGAGGAGAGACATAGGCACAAAGAGAGCAAGTACAGCGACAGAGGCGCAGGCAGTGGCAGAGTTCAGATGGTTAGCTGTAAATGCAAATGCAGAGAGAAGAAGGAAGGGGGAAACAGTGATCAGTTCAGAGCGGAACAGAAAAGAAAATAGAAGAGGGGAGCAGAGAACTGAGCACTGCCACTGACACTACATAGTGGACGAGCAATAATCGATTTAAAGCGAATACTAATCATTAGAGGAAGAAATGTGTGCGGACAGAGGCCACAGTGGGAACGCACGTTCTGGATACATTTCAGTGGCTGTATCCATGGGTGCCACTGGGCGGAGAGTTAACCGTTGCAGAAAACGCATCAATGTCTACTTGTCTGCTTGTCTGCCGCGAGTGCAAGTGCAAAAAGAGAGTTATGTATGCATACACACATATGTATGTATGTATGTATGTATGTATAAATGTATGTAATATGTATGTGCCTATGTATCTACTTGTAATTACAATCTGTGTGCACCGTAGTCTGCTCGTAATTTATCCACAAGATAAATGCAGCTATTCCCTAGCTATGCCCCCATAGATTGTCTTCACATGCCCGGCCCCGAGCCCGTTCCGTTCCGTTCCATTCCATTCCGTTCCGTCCTATGACTTGGTCACCTGTGGCGCCGACGACTTCGAATGCAGCGGCTGCAGCTGCTGCTGTTGATGTTGATGTTGATTTTGTTGTTGTTGCTGCTGATGGTATAGCTGTGGATGCGCCAATTTCTCTTTGTGTGCACGATATGCCATCTCTTGGGCCTCGTTGAGGGAGCGCCTGTCCCAGCCACCACCGCCGCCGCCACCCCCGCCCGACGACCAGCCTCCACCGCCGCCGCCTCCGCCGCCACCCGATGACCAGCCCGAGCTGCTGCCGCCCGACGACTTGCCCGACATCAGCTTCTTCAGGCCGATGATGCCAGCCAGCAGCAGGGCTATCTTCGAGATGATCAGCGCCTTGCCAGCCAGTATGTAGAGGGCGCCCATGGCAATGGGTATCATGCCCATCATTTTCATGGCCATGCCCATCATCATCATGCCCATCATTTTCTTCATTTTGCCGCGACCTGCAAAGAGACAGAGAGAGAAATTAATAATTTTCCTTTTTTTTCCTACTGCGGGGGCACAGATCTGCGAGTGACTCCCAAGCTGGTGAAAGTGCCAGGCAGCAGCTCAATTACCAAAGGCTGTGTGAGAATATTTTGCTGCGGCAGCATTTCGTTCGTTTCGGGGCAGCTGCACCGTGTGTGGCTTTCATTTTGATGCAGTCATTAGGGACACTTCGGGCGGTTTCACCTGCCTGCAAGCAAGGCCAAAAAATTGCATATGGCCGTGGCAATGAGCAGACCAAAAGTGTCCATACTAATGCGAGGCCCAAACTAAGCAGATGCGAGATGATGTCGCTGCAGTCATAACCAGCTCTCTCGGGACAGGCTTCGATTGCTGCAAGTATTGGCCAAAAATGGTTGTGGCTCTGCGGCATTGGGAAAGTGTTTGGCCAACTCGTATTCGATCGATTTAAAGATGTTGATCAATGATTTGAAAGTAGGAGAGTTAAAAATGCATGTGGCGTGAAAGTAAGTTCACTTTTCATGGCCATGGATAAATCTTGATGCAGCATTCAGCTCTAAGTGCTCGTGTCAAATTTGTAATTGATTCAAAAGTCGGCAAATTTAAATGGAAATACAAATGGAAATGCCAATGCTGCCAATGGCAGTGGAAAAAGTCTTTTGGTCTGGACTCGAGGAGTCGTGTTTAACATGGCCCAAGAGAAACTTCGCTCGGCTGGCACTTTCATTCCATTTGACATGGTCATGACATGGCAAAGAGTGGCTCAGTTTCAGCGTTTGATGTACACTGAAAGCCCTAGAAGATCATTGGGATAGAGGAGTAACTCTCTACAGGGGAAAAAGTGCTAACTTTTGAGATTTCTTTGATAATTTCGGTATGAAGATTGCTCCTCTGTGGCGTAATTTTTGAGAATTATTTGATCATATATACATGAGTATTTCTTCCTCTGCGACTGCCTCTCAAGAGCATCAAACATTCGTGTTGGTTACTGCAAAGCTTACCCCCCCAAAGTCATGTTTATTTTATGTCGTTCTTTTTTTTTTGGCCAACACGAAATTCTGGCCTCACATTTTTGTCATTGCCTGTCGCTGCTGTTCGTTTGCTTAGGTTTTTCTGGGTCATTCCTCATTCCTCAGTCGCCGAACGGGTTTCTCTCGTGAGTGCGTTATAAAACTGAAAACAATTGCGCATTTTCCCAGCAGCAACAACGATTCCTCACCCTCTTAACATACAATGGAGAGAGAATGCCAGGCCTGATAAGCAAAGGAAGTGGGACAGCAGTCAGCCGCAGATAGTCAGCCAATGTCATTGGCAAAGATATCATTACGAGGCTGCTGCAGCTCTAATAACCACCTCCCGTGGAGCCAGCAATTACCGAGGAGCTCGCTTTACCGACCACAGACTCAAATTATGTCACTGTTACGCGCCATGGATACTGGGGTGTGTTAGCGGTAACATTATTTAGACCGCCCACAGAAAGTGCTTACCTTCCTCCAGGCCACGTCCAATCTCGTCGGATGTCAGCTTGGGGAAGCTGACCTGCAGCGAGTGGCCGTTGAAGAAGTAGCTGAGCCGCTCCGTGAGCATGTTCGTCAGCTTGGCATCGCGCTCGCTGCCGGAACGTGGCAGCGAGGATTCCAGCAGCTCGTTCTCACTTGTGGCGGTGGCCGCTGGCCGTGGTGCCGTTTCCAATCGGACCAGCTTAATGCCGTCGGCCACGTTTATGGCATCGATGGGGGCAAGGCGATCAATGAAGGAGATGGCCTTCTTCTTCAGGCATGGCACGAATCCGGCCTCGGCACGGGTGCACTCATCGTAGACGCGCAGCAAGGTGCGTGCCCCGGCACTCTGTGTGTTGGCGGTGGCCGCTGACAAATTGCTTAGCTGCTCGGTGCCCGCCTCGCAGCGGCTGGCGAGGCACAGGGTGAGCAGGCACAGGGTGAGCAGGCTCAGCGGATGCAAATGCCGTTGCTTGAATGTCATTCTGCCTGGCTGCACTTTTCCACACACTTCACACAACACGACGAACACGCGGCACACGACGCGAAACAGACACACAGACAGACAGACAGACAGATGGTTGCTGGGGTTAATCCTTGGAGCTAATCTGGCCAGGAGCTCTCTGGTCTCTGGACTCTGGTCTGGCTGCTAGTTCAAATCAAACTGATGCCCAGCCTTGGCGCGCTTTATTCTTTTATAGACCTTTCTTTCGCCTCCCGAAGCGGCGCTTAATCGCACTTTTTGGATTTTTCTTTCGCCACTCGTTGCCGGCTTCGTGTGGCTTCGTGTGGCTTCGTGTGGCTTCGTGGCTGAGCTGCGACTCGTGCTTGACTGCTGGAAATACTTATGTGTGGGCTTGATGATCTCCTCAATGAACTGGAGCCCAGACTGGAAACCAGAAAGACGAAGGCAAAGGCGAAGGCGAACCTCCAGCAGCATTTTCCAACTAGTTTCGACGAGTTTTTCCAGGCAGCGCATCGCTTTCGATGTTTATGGCCAAACATATTAGGAGCTTGACTTTTTTGTTGTTATTTCTTTGCCGTTTTG